CCATTCATTTTAAATCAAAATAGCAGGATGTTGGATGTTTGCATGTCCTCCTTGCGTTCGCGTGGGTTTCCTCCGGGGGCTCCGGTTTCCTCCACAGTCCAAAGACATGCGGTACAGGTGAATTGGGTAGGCTAAATTATCCGTAGTGTATGAGTGTGTGTGTATGTGTGTGTGTGTGTGGATGTTTCCCAGAGATGGGTTGCAGCTGGAAGGGCATCTGCTGCGTAAAAATGTGCTGGACAAGTTGGCGGTGCAATCAGCTGTGGCGACCCCGGATTAATAAAGGGACTAAGCCGACAAGAAAATGAATGAATGAATGAATAAATATTGCCAATAATTCTCAATTCTAGAGACTACAGCTGGTCATTTCAACACCATTTCTTGTCAACAACATCTTGACAGACCCTACTCATTGATTTCCATAGAATTTGTGGTGCCTACTATAGATGTCAATGGCTGTTTTTTTTTTCTAGCATTCCTCATATATTGTTTCGTGTTCAACAGAAAAATTAAATTCATAAACATTTAGAATCACTTTATTGTGAGTAAATGGTGTAGAAATTTTCATTTTTGCATAGTTTGGACAGCCATAAATTATATTTATTCCTCATTTACTGACCCTGCTATTGTGCTATATGCCCTTTTTTGTATTCAGACCTCAAAAGGAGAAATAAAAGTGCTGCTTGGCAGTTACTATTTTTTACAGTGGAGTTCTGATTCACTCTGACTCAAGATAAGTGTAAATGTGGCACAAAATGCAATCCACATACTTTCTTGCCTGCTGTGTTTATCGCGGCAGCCAGTTATCATGTTGATCTGTCAGCTGTCATTCTGACTGTCATCCTGCAAACCAGACATGTATCTAGATATTCAACTCGGTGAAGAAACTATATGGATGCATTCTTGGCAGATTTCTAGGCATTTTGTTTCATATTTTATTCATCTTGATTTGACTGTGGCAGAATGGACCGATGTCTTTAATAACTTGCTCTGCAATTTTGACTGGAACTCATGGCATGAATAATCTTAAAGTGGAGTGTGTATGTATTAAGCGTCTTAGTAAAAATTAAAACACATGGAAAGGTTAGTGAGGGGTATTTCTGACAGAAAGTGTTATGTTTGTAACACTTTCTAAATGAAACCATAATAATTCACTTAATCTTTATTTTTATAGAGCTTTTACGATGTGGATTGTGTCAAAGCAGCTTAACATAGAAGTTCTAATCAATTGAAACTGTGTCAGTCGAGTTTTCAGAGTTCAGTTTAGTTCAGTTCAGTGTGGACTAATTATCACTGCTGAAAGTCTTTATTAATCAGGGGTCGCCACAGTGGAATGAACCGCCAACTTATCCAGCATATGTTTTACGCATGTGCCCTTCCAGCCGCAACTCAACACTGGGAAACAGACAAACTCATTCTCACACACTCATACACTACAGTCAATTTTAGCATACCCGATTCACCTGTACCACATGTCTTTGGACTGTGGGGGAAACTGGAGCACCCGCTGGAAACCCATGCGAATACGGGGAGGACATGCAAACTCCAGACAGAAATGCCAACTGGCCCTGCCAAGACTCAAACCAGCGACCTTCTTGCTGTGAGGTGAGCGTGCTTTTCAAAAGGTACATATTTGTACCCGAAGGGTGCATTATGGTACCTCAAAGATACGTTTTAGGTACATTTGGGCACTAATTTTGACGTTTGAGGAACCACTGTGGACTCTTTGGATACAAATATGTATCTTTTGAAAAGGTGCTGCCCCAGAGACAGCTCCTGTTCCTTTGTTTCTGAAAGTGTACACATATTTAACCATAATAGTTTTAATACCTAATTTCTTTTGTCTTTGCCATGATGGCAGTACATAATACTTGACTAGTTATTAAGCAAGATACTAGTGTTCTGCTTAAATTCAAATTTAAAGGCTTAACTTGGTTAATTAGGCAAGTCAGGGTCATTAGGCAAATCATTGCACAACAGTAGTTTGTACTGTAGCCAATCAAAAAACATAATTTCTTAAAGTGGCTAATAATGTTGACCTTAAAAATTTTAAACATTTTTTAAAACTGCTTTTATTCCAGACAGATGTGTATCTAAAGCATATTTTTGCGTCATATTTTTAAAAAAAATGTTATTGTCATTTGCAGCATAACAAGCTACTTCTCTTCTCTCGCCAAACAGCTCTTATCAGTCATCTAACGACTACATTTAATAACATAAGGGGTTGTTCACACAGAATGCATTTTTACTTTACAATGTGCTTCTTCTATTATTTTTCAATGGAAACATGAGTTTGAAGGATGCGCGTGACATGACCACTGCGTTTTTAGATGCCGTGTCAAGTTAAAAGACGCAGTGCAGCTCATTACTGTCAGTTCCATAGTAATGGACCAATCAGTAGAGCTCGAAGGCGGAGCAACCATTGCAAGTTTCTGTTTTACTGGCACTTTGTGGCTGTGTAGACACCCTGGTCCTTTTTTTTAAACCATTGCATCTTGCTTTTTTAGAAGCTAAGACATGTTCAGTGTGAATGAGCCCTTGTGGTTCCCTAGTAAATCCTGAGCAACCATTCAGAACTGCCACAAACCAGCAGCTGGATATCAGGGCAGCTGTTTGCATGAGCAAGCACAATGCACATTTTCTTCATTAAGAAATCTATTTCCCCTTTATTTTTAACAATGCACACTATGTTTTGCTTTATTTATTTATTTGTTTGTTTGTTTTTTGTGTAAGTAAAAAGCGGTGAGTGATTCACCTATCAGCACCACAGTACATTACTGCTTCACCTGACAGCTGAGACACTCCAAACCAGCAGCGCAACACAATATGACAGTTTAGGACAATTATTACAGCTTTCCCTCTCTCCTGCTCACTGTCATTCTTCACCCTGTGAAGAGCACACACACACACTTCACACAAGATCATTTACACAGTTTATACACTGGGCAGTATGTATAAATTGCTTATGGATGAACAAGATCCCCCGCTGTTGCATTAAGTATCAGTAGGTGAAATAAGAGAGATAAAGTGCTTCATCTGCTATACCCGATGGTCAAATTCCTGAAACCTGGTTATACTGTAAAAGACTGTTGCTGCCTTAAATTTTGCATCACACATTACATAACTTAATGCTTTTGAAACCTGATTCACTTATTAAAATAAGTTAATGTAACATAAAAACGTTTGTCGTCCTTTTTGTCATATGTTTTTTTACAGCGTGCAGACATTGACACACAAGCTCTCTCTCACACACACACAACTTCACAAGGACATATTTGAGGTAAACATGCAGCTAGCAACATGATACGCTTTTAAGATGCAGATGGGTCTAAGGTGCATTCTCTTGTGTGTGTGTGGTGTTTGTGTACCTTGTATTCCTTATATTGTGTGGACTAAATGTCCCCACCAGTATATGAATACCAGTCAAATTCGGCCACGTGGAGACTTTTTTTTTAGTCCCCATGAGGAAAACGGCTCATAAATCATGACAAATCACACAGAATTAACTATTTGTACAGTATTGAAATCGTGTCTGTGGAAAGTCCACATAAAGATAAGTGTGTGTGTGTGTGTGTGTGTGTGTGTGTGTGTGTGTGTGTGTGTGTGTGTGTGTGTGTGTGTGTGTGTGTGTGTGTGTGTGTGTGTGTGTGTGTGTGTGTGTGTATGTGTGTGTGAAAGTCAATTTGCTCCCACATTAATGAACCAATTAAAGCCTGTCAAAAAGGCATCAAGTAAGTGCTGTGAGATGAATGCAGATGAAAAGTGAGAGTGAGAAAGCTCTGTTTTTTCCACTAAAGAGTGATAAGTAAAAATTGGCATTGTTTAAACACGATAGTAGAAAGAGATGAAGGTTTTTATTCTTGCAGGGGCTTAAAGTCACTGAATATTATGTCATTTCAAACTCACAAACTTTTATTTTATGCAGTGGAACACAAAAGCAGAACACTTTTCCATACACTGGCACTTCAATAGTGGTTTGGCTGCATGTCAAGCCTAATCAACCTCCACCCGTAGGATGCCGTAGGACTGGTGGGTTACATGTGGGGGCTCGTCCAGGATGGGATTGAGGTTTAGGGGGGTGAGTGTATTGGATGCCTGCTAGCAAAGTTCTATGCAGGTAAACCTCAATCCTCTGACATCTAAAGGTGCTCTATCAACAGGAATTAGAGGCCATGGTTAGAGCAATCTACTCCCATGCAATTGCCACTGGTTCGATCTCAGCTCAGACTGGGTTGGGTGCAGTAGGACCGGTGGGTTACATGTGGGGGTTCGTCCGGGGTTTGAACCCGGTTCGATCCCAGCTCAGACCAGGTTTAAATAAAAGAGTGCAAAAGCAAGAGCCTTTATTCTCTGTGTAACGGAGGCCAGCTAGTGTGTGCTGTGCAGGTAAACCTCACTCCTCTGACCTCTAAAGGTGCTCTAGCAACAGACGTTAAAGGCCATGGTCTTTAGCCTCCTTGTTAGAGTAACCCACTCCCATGCAATAGTCACCGGTTCATAAGGAGCATTCACACACGCACATGGACATTCAGTTTATTTTTTGAGCAAAATATTATGACTATCGCACATTTACCTTGACTGGATGATGTTAAAAGAATATTTAGCACAGCCCTAAATACTAAATTGTCATTGTAGATTTGCCACTAGGTAAACAAGGTTTACAGTCATTTACAATATAAATAAAATTGAGGATTCAATTCAATTCAGTTGAAGTTTATAGATATAGCTCCTTTCACAATAATTATTGTTTCTAAGCAGCTTTTCAAAAGGTGCATATTATTGCATTAAAATCAAATTAGCAGAAGTTAAGGTTACTAGTCACCAAATTTTTACTATCACTTATTAATTTATATGTTGGGTTTCGGCATTATTGGAAGAACTGGCATTACTTTTCATTTCAGACATTACAGAATTACATTTCAGAGCTGCAACAAATGATACTTTCGTGTTTTTTAGTGTGTGTGTCTGTGTGTATAACTTTACCTTTTTTCCCCCTCCAGATTTGCTTTGTAAACCTGGACAGACATACTTCAGATTGGCATGATGACAACTACATCAAGGTGAGTTCAGATGGTGCTTTCCCTTTTTGCAGTTTGTGATGATCAGAGATCATGAACGCTTATATTCAGTGGGTTTCATTGAATAAAAGGCTCAACCAAGTGATTAGTTCTACATCTTAAAGCAGTGTCACTCGTACATTTTGTCAATCCCAGTTGACTTGTTCATTAACATCCAAATAAATTTCTTCCCAAACATCCCACCCACCAACCACCCCCCACCCATTTCCCCAACCTCTCATTTCCAATTCATTTAAAGCGAATAACAAATGTATGAATGGCTTTCATCATTTCCTAAGCGTATGAAATAAACAATGTTTCTTCTAATTAAAAGGGAAATTAGAAACAATACGAATTACCAAGATAACGCAAGCAAAGAGTCGCATTTATGTGACTTGAATATTAGCATACATTTCCCCACAGAAGCTGGCCTCGGTGTGCCCAGAGCTGCCACGGTTAATTGAGTCTCTCGGAGTGCGGCAACCCAAAGAAAATGAGATTCTGCTTCTCAGCAGCCTAGAGCCACCGGACTCCTGCCAGCATGACCCCAGCCACCCACAGGTAACACATGAATGTAGACCCCAACGTCTGACATTGTTTTACTGTTTACTAGTTAAACTGTGTATGTGTGTTAGTGTACAGAGTAATGCGACATTCTGCTCAATAAAACAATGACTTCAAAATATCTGAAAAATTGAGACAAGTTATCTTTGCTCCAAAGTAGCCCCACCCCACTGCACCATTTCTATACAGTATATTATGCACAATCTTAATCAGTTTTACATCATATCATGATGCATATACATACATACATACATACATACATGCATGCATACATAAGCCAATACAAGTAGATAAAAGTTCCCTTATATCTTCACTCATCTATTGTACATACCCAGCCGGCACACAACATCATAATACGTTAATAAAAGGTTAGATTTAGGTCATGACATCAGGTGACCAAAATTTAAATGTCTAGCCAGCATCTAAGGACAATGTTATTTTGACATTCAACAATGACATCATTAGATGTTGATATTTGGTTGATTTTTGGTTGTGTTGGAAATACTGACATTTATTCGTCTGGTATGGCAACCAAAATCCAACGTCTGATAGACGTCATAGAAGTAACGTCCACACAATGACAAACTGTAACATCATTAGACGTTGATATTTGGCTGATTTTAGGCTGTGTTGGAAAGTGACCAAAATCCAGCGTCGAGCCAACATCTTAAACAAACTTCATATTGACGTCAAATACTGACGTTTATTCGTCAGGTTTGGCAATCAAAATCCAACGTCTGATAGACGTCATAGTGGTAACTTCCACACAACAACAAGCTGTAACATCATTAGACGCTGATGTTTGGTTGATTTTTAGGTTGGACATTGATATCGGCCTAACATTGGGTTCTGAAGTCAACTCAATTTTCATTTTCACTTGGACCACTTCTAACTTGAATAATTGAAGTTGAGTGAATCTTATTTATAATGTCTTGCCAGATTTTCTCTGAGAGAATCAACTCAAGTTCACTTCCCCGTTGTTGTTTTGACTTTGTTAATGAAGTTAAATTTTGTAAGTCAGAATTATTAGCACTCTTGAATTATTAGTCCCCCTCTGTATTTTGTTCCCAGTTTCTGTTTTAAGGAAAGACTTTTTTTTCAGCACATTTCTAAACATAATAGTTTTAATAACTAATTTGTAATGTCTGATTTCTTTTATATTTGTCATGATGACAGTATATAATATTTGACTAGATATTTTTTAAGATACAAGTATTCAGCTTAAAGTGACATTTAAAGGCTTAACTAGGTTAATTAGGCGAGTTAGGGTAATTAGGTTAGTCATCGTATAATGATAGTTTGTTCTGCAATAAGAAATAA